ACAACTGGCACAGGGCTTGCAGTACAAGTGACTAAATACAGGCTGCTGGTCTAGCCTAGAATGTGTTTTGCTGGTGATTAATTAAAATGCTGTTGTAGCAAACTTAACTACAGCAAAAATAATGTATATTTAGAAGTAACCTATGAACAGTTTGGTCAAGGTTGGGAGAGGAACTATTTCTCTGGGTGAAAATACTTGCATGTTTTACTAATTTGAGTCAGTTACTGTTTGGCATAGGATCAAAGAATCTCAGTAGATCTAATGGGGAGGAAACTTGGACTGCAGAGGAATTACAGCAAGCTGTAATTCAAGCCCATTTGTTGATAATAGTTTTTTACTCATGCTATGGTGCCTGCCACTAGATATGCAAGTTAGTAGGACGGCCTTCATAATTACAGACATTAACAGGAGTGCAGAATGAGATAATAAAAAGCCCTTCTTTGCCTTTAATCTGCTTTTTCTGAATAGTAACTGCTTGGAAAAAGCACATTATAAGAGACAGAGCTTTGCAGGAGCAGAAACAGATGTTACAAGAGCAGAGATAATTTTACAACTGACTGATACCATGATGTTTTAATTGCAGGGCTCTTGGATTTGGCTACTTCATACTGTGAAAACAGACTGAAAAAACTGTGTCAGCACATTATCAAGAGAGGAATTACTGTGGAAAATGCATTTTCATTGCTCTCTGCTGCTGTCAGATATGATGCAGAGGTAAACTTCTAAAGTTCATTCTCTTAAATGGGTGGCTGCCTCCTGACTTAAACTCTGGAGAAAAGCAGCTGGTTACATTTTCATATAAGCTCTCTTACTTTCATTTAATTCTATTTGCCATTTTCAGAATTTGAGAATGTTGGACTTACCTCTCATGGCAAATACAGTTTTTGTATCTCATTTTTTATTTTCATTTTTCCCTATAAACCAGTACTGGGAAGGTGAACTAGGTGAACTACGCAGATATTTCTGAGGAAGGAAACACTAAGTCTGAAACAAGGGGAGGGTTTAAACAAAAAGTAACATAATGAAAAGCAGGCTAAGCCTTAAGTTACTGATTTGTAAGGCTGTGTGTTGTGTGTGATGACATGGTGGTAGGTTGCATTTGGGATTTTTTTTTTTTTGGTTGGTGGGGTGGGTTTTTTTTATCTTTTTTGTTTGTTAGGTACAAATACGCTTCCAGTTTTCAGAGTATGCTGATGAGTGTCAGGATAGGAACTGCTTCAGGGGCCTTATAAATGTTGAAGACAGAGCAACAGTGTGTGAAGAGGGGAGTGAAACCTCCTCACTGTGGAATGTCTGACTTCACTCCTTGATCCCTAACATGCTGCTTTAGGAACTAATCAGGAAGTATTCCTGGGCTTGCTTTGGCTGCTTGTGTTCAGTAGTATCTGTGCATTGCGTTGGCAACTTTACAATTGGTTGGTTTTGAACTTGCTGCTTGTGCTTACAAAGCAGTTTTTTGGTACTCAGTAAATCAACTTATTGCTTTTTCTTGTACTTGATTTCCAGCAGCTGGCATGCAGCTTGCCCTAACTTATTTCAGAGCCTTGAGGTGTGATGCTTGCTTGACGGACCTTAACCCAAGGCTGTTAGTGTCTGTCCTGGCTTCTGATCTACTGTGAATAGTGATGTCTTTGATAGAAGTTCATAAAAATTAGGAAGATTCCCATCTTTTAGCCTCCAGAGATGGTTTGCAGGATGGGTCTTAGGTGTGTGGTTGATTCTGCTTGTAAGGGCTGTAAGGAATCCAGTTACTCTGCCACAGCTGTAGCTCCCTAGCTAAGTAAAGGTGGAACCATAGGCTTCAGTGCTGCTTCCAGGAGAGAATGGTGATGCTGAGGGGTTGGGCTTTAACAGAAGTTGGGTTTACATGCTGCAGTGCTGGCAGGGGGCTTGCAATTGCTTGGCTGATGGAGTTCTTTCAGGGGGGGTGTGCTGGAAGACAACACTTCAAAGAAGCTGCTTCACTAATTTAAAATACCTCCATGACATGAAACTCCTGCAGTTTCTTTTAGGTCAGGGCTAGCTTCTTGTAGCTTTTAAAATAATCCTTAGCTGTACCTTGTGCCTTTATTCACCTAAGTCTATATTAAGTAGTTTGCTGGGAGCTCATCCATCTGCAAATGAAACTCAGCCTTTCTTTTTAAACAGAACTTTAGATTTTTCCAGAGTTACTAATACTACAATAATTCTGTTTGTGTGCTTTTGTTGCATTGACTTGGAATATGAAGTTTTAATAAAGCAGTGCGAAATATTGTAACGTGTATGATGTAATTTTCTTTAAAATGCGAGTTAATTTTGTTATTAAAAAATACCACAACTGTCAGTGTTCAGTTCTAGTAAGCTTGTCTTTTTTTGTTGCACAGATGCCACACAAGTCAAGATCTGCAGCTTCAGAATGCCTGGTTTTAGGCCAGGATATATTTTTACATTACTGTTATGTCAAGCACTGGCACACACAGTTGCTCTAGTTTCAGTATTGACCTTAAGAGAAAACATGAATATTATTCAGTCTTTCCTACATCATGGGGCTTAGAGAGTTTGTTTTGCCTTCCTGCAGTGCCCAGCCTGCTGAGCAGCCAAGGAAGAGCATGTTCTCACATACAGAGTCCTACAAAGATCTGATAAAGAAACCAGAACAGTGTGGGCAGTTGCCCTTTTCTGTCAGGGCTGCAGCATCCTCCTTAGAGCAGCTTAGATCTGCGCCACAGAGTAGACCTCCTTCTCAAAGGAGGAGCTGGAAATAATCTGAGTGGGAAGTGTTCTGTGGGGAACTTTGCACTGACAAGGACTGTGCCTTTTTTTGGTGCTCTTTAAGGCATCCTCTCTGTCTGACATCACCAGGGCGCAATGTTGGTTGTGAGGCTTTTCTAATTATTACATGGGAGTCACTTCCAAGTAAACTCAAATATCCAGAGCCCACTTTCTGCAAGGATTGCTGTGCTGCACTGTGCTCCACTACTGCATTTGAATCATTCAGGAGCCCTGTGAAGTACTTTGTAGCAGAGGTTGTTTCTAATGCACAGAAGGACCTCCTGCCAATCTTTGCTGTATAAACTGTCCAGTCAGGATACCCTGAGCCTGGAACTGGAACGATCTAGCTAAGCCCTTCAAGAAACAGGAAGGAAGTCAAGCAACCTTAAAAATAATAGATTTGTTCATATTGTGAAAGAGCTGAATTTTCTTTATCCGCAGTCTTGGTTATACATCATTACCCCAAGATCTCCTATTTACATTGGAGTTTCAAAGTTGTCAGAGAATGCAGATGAAACAAAGTGTGAGAATTTAAAATATATATTGCTCAGAACAGCTGGTTTTTGTGACTGCTGCTATTTAGTGAGAAACAAGTTTTGGTTACTTCCTCTTGTAGCTGCATTTACATAGTGACATATGTGGGTAGAATCATTATTTTCATTTGCATTTACATAGTGACTGTTGGGGGAAAACGCAGAGCCACTGGGTGTGTTTGTCCAAGTTGCTGCAAAAATAAAACATAAATAGGCATTTGTGCCTCAGTGATATTTTCTGTGATTGAAAGCAAAGATAACATTTTTTCTTTTTGTTTTTTCCCACCTCTTTAGGACTTAGAGGAATTCTGCTTTAAGTTTTGTGTCAATCATTTGACAGAAGTGACACAAACTACAGCATTTTGGCAAATGGATGGTCCCCTGCTAAAGGAATTTATTGCTAAAGCCAGTAAATGTGGAGCCTTTAAGAACTGAAAGAATGAGGCCGTAAGTCGCGGTGTTTGTGGGGTTCTTTTTCCAGCTACAATGTAACTGTGTGGGTCCAGGCAAGTGTTTTGTGGTCTCTTCCACCACAGAACCCGAAAGGCTACAGTGAAAACAAATATTTTCAGTGCTCAAGAGCAAACTGTTGTAAAAATGTCAAGCAAAATACTCACTTGCATTTAACAAACCTGGATGGTGGATCCAGCTCAGGATTCAGGCAGAGAGGGAATGCTGCAGTGTGTGAAGGATTCCGGCCGCTGTTCCGCACTTGCCTTTCCAGCCTAGGAAATCTCTGTTGTAGCACTGCCTGCTCCTATCTCCAGTTTACTGTCTGGGGTTGGAAAATAGTCTGGCCTGAGCCACTGAATGATGTCACTTCAATCATTAACTCCCTGGGATTATAGAGGAGCAAATGGCATGGTTATCTCTTGCTGCATTTGCATGATTGTGAATAAATTGGCCATTTGCTGTGTGTAATTAACCAAGTGTATTCAGTGCTTCAAGTGTGCAAAAATGATGTATCTTCAAAGCCTCTGCAAGTCACTTCGAAGAAAGGAGTTACTAGGAAAACTAATTTGAAGTAAATCTCTATATTTGGGTATATTTTAATATAAGTTGTAATGTGTACTTTGTGGAATCTGTTCAAGCACTATTTATAATGCTTAATGGAAATAATTCCACTCTTCAGTGACTTCAGATTATGTTGGTTCCCTCAGAGGGGGAAGGGAAAGCTGGGTGGGATTTTGCTTTTAATTGTTGTCTAAATTTAAACCACATATAATAAAATTACTTTTTTGTACCTCTTCACTAGCAAACTTTAGATTTTGAAGAACATTACAAGCTTTCTGTGTTACATACAGCATCTTAAGTTGCTTCATTTAAAAAACTTCATCAAAACAACAAAGGAAAACCCAATAAAACAACAAATAAAGCCAAAACCCAACTTACCCTCTACAATGAATCTTGCTGATTTCACTGTGCCTGACAAAATACCTGTGCTCTTGATTTCAGAAGGTCACAGATTTCTTTGTAGGCACTAATTTTAGACCTCAGTGGTTCACTCTGTGGATCTGACTTTTTACACTAAGTCATCCTTAAGTGGCTGTAACCCTTCAGAAGGTATGTATGGACCATCCTTATCGTTCTTACTGTGTTTAATAACAGAGCTTGTTAATGCATTTTTGGTTTAGGCGGGGTTTTTTCAGGCTGAGTGGCCCTCAAGTTCTGGTGATGTTTCTAGGCCTAGAAGGGCAGCAGACTTGAACTCTGTAAGCAATTAAAATTACTGTTTATTTGTTGAATCAAGCATACCATATTGTTCAAGAGCTCATTTTGAATGCTGCTATTCTGTGCTTATCAATCCCCACCTTCCTACAGAGCAAGCTCAAGTGAGGAATTCCAAGTGGTCATGGAGAGAGTACAGCTGTTGTGACAGGATCTCACCTGTGTCACACCAAGTGGTGTTTGCCAGTGCTCTGCTTGTCCCTCAGCATGAGCATGGCCTGACAGCATTCCCCCTTCTTGGCTGTGTCCTGTGCAGCAGCTTAGGGATGGGGAGCACAACTTCACACACAGCTCCTTTAAAAAATGTTTTATTTTATTAACTTAGCCTATTGTGGCTTTTCTGTATTCAAACAATATTTTAAAGACAAAACAAAAGTTGAACCCTTTCTTAATGGAGAAGGGAAGAGTCAGTCACTATTTTGCTCCATTTGACACTGTACTTGTTCTGAGTGCAATGCCCAACCCTTTCTGGTCTGCCTGCCCTTTTCTGCTATACTGCTTTACCACTGCCAGTATAGCAGAAACAGTGCACCTTGATCAGTCAATAAAGAATAATTTGGCTTTTTAAATTAGACTCCTGTTTGTAATCCAGAAGGCTTCTTTGAGTGCAGGTCCTGCTCATTTATTTTTTTGGGAAAGCCAAAGCAGCACTATGATCCTTCAAACATCACTGAATAGACACAGACAGCGAGGCACTACTGCCCAGGCAGGAGAGGGCTCCCACAGTTTAAGTGAATTTAGCAAGTGTTCTGTGGCAGCTCAACACTCCCCTGGCTTTGAGAAAAAAAGTCTTCCCTGGAGGGTTCTGTTGAGTTTTTGCAAAAGCTAAATTTAGTTAGTAACAGTCATTTATATTCCATTGTGCAATATAAGTGGAAATTTCTAGTGGAAGCAGGGAAAAATTTGAACAGGAAAATTTGAAAACTTGAAGGACTTTAAATTATTGCAACAGTGAGGTATAAAAATGAGTATAACACCACATTCTTGCACCCATTCAGCCCTCATCTTGGGGCTGGGGAATTGAGCACTGACCGGACTGGTCTATGGTTTTTATCATTAAAATTCCTAACAATTGCACCATCACAGAGAGGAGTTATTCAGATGCTGTACTGGATGTACTGGCCCTGTTCTCTGGAGTAGAAAGGATGACTTCTTTTAAGTCCTGCAGCAGCTCAATCTTGTGATCCAGTCTTTTTCTGTTTTCCAGAAGTTTCTGGATTTTTTCTTCTGTTCCTATTATGAAAAAGGGATAAAAAACTTTAATTATGAAGGAACAAAAATATTTTATTATTATACATAAGTATTGCTGATATAAAATAGATTACATATTCATTAACTCTGCAGAGCTATCACTGCTGGTGTAACCTGCAGTAAAGCCTTTGCCTTTCTGCAGCAATGCCTGTAACCCACCACCCTGCAGAGCCGGTGTCCTCACCAAGAGCTGAACTCTGTGTCTGCTGAGAGCCTGGCTGGTGTGTCAGAGACAGCACAGAGCAGGAGTCATGGCCTCTGCCATCCATCTATAACACAGCTCGTTTTGAGATTAAATTTCAAACATCTCAGCATATGTAAAAATTACTAGTTTAGCTACTAATCCCCTGTGTTAACTGGCATGTGAGTTTAAAGGTTCTGTTTTCAGAGCCTGTTTGTGTGAGAACTCCCCCAACAATGATGTATTTTAAATCTTTAAAGATACCATCGCTAAATTACACTCCTAAAGCAAATTACAAGCCTAATGGATTTTAGCCAACAACAAAATTAAACCTTAAACCAGATAGTTTGGACAACTGCATTCAAAACCACAATTCAATAGCATTTTTCTCCTGCTTCTGGCAAAATCATTATTGACAGTATCCTGATAGGATTATCAAAGTTGTTTACCTTATTTGCAAAGCCCTGTTTGACTGCATTTCTGCTTCCCTCTGCTGCTTCCATTTCCCTAATGTTAAAGATTATTGAAGTCAGTGAGAGCTCAGTAAGGAACCTGGCCACTATTCAGAAGCATTACCACAACCTTACAGGGTTAATTCCAAGTTTTTAATGAAGCACCTGCCTTGTTCAGTTAGCAGGACACACAGAGGTGTCGGTGACCTCTGAGCAGCAAGGCTGGTCTGTGAACAACAAACAACTTTCTCAGAGTGTGTGAATGCTGAGAGTTCAGGTCCTAGTAAGAAAAAGACATGTTGTACAAACTGAATGTGCTTTTCTTCTTTTGGGGGAGAAGATGTTGAAGAATGTCTCCAAAGTTCCAGTGAGGAGAGTGCAGAAACATCACCAGCTGTTTACCCTATGCCATTCAAAATAAAAAAGCCTTAAGTGATTTTGAAAAAAAAAAAAAAAAAAAAAAAAAAAGAAAGGAAAGCACTTTGGCCTTCTGCCTCCCTGCTGCTCCTTCCTCTGAGTGAGAAAACACAGCACCTGCTGCCTGTGGGTGGATGTGGAAGGTGAGGGACAGGGACACATTTTTTAAATGCAGTACCCAAAGTTGGGTGTGGCCGTTGAAGATGGGCAGCCAGAGCACTGTTGGTGCCTGCTGCCCATGGGAAATTCTGGTAACAGTCACTGAAGAGGGACCTGGTGCCCCAGGCTGGCTCTGACTGGAGAGAAGGAGATGCCCCTTCCCTCGGCACTCGGGTGACACATACCTGAAGAAGTTTGACTTGTACAAGTGGAACCAGGGGGAAAAAACCCTTAAGAGAGTATCTGGATATGAATTAATTATCAGAAATTAATAAAGCAGCTCAGCTGGTTAGAGCATGGTGCTAGTGCCAATGGATATGGGTTCAATCCCCATTATTCCCATACAGGCCACTTAAGAGTTGGACTCAGTGATCCTTGCAGGTCCCTTCCAACTCAGAACACGCTGTGATCCTGTTGATTCAGCATTTGGGAGCGTTACAGATGGAACACCCACAGCTCAGTTTCTCTCCTGTCAAAAGGTGTCCGGTTTTCGGCTGTTTGGATGGCCTGGAAAGGCCCAGGGTGGCCTTGGGGCAGCCCGCGTTTCAAAGGACGAGAAGAGGCTTCAGATCTTTTCTCGGTCTCGGTGTTTATTAATTGTTTATCTAAAAGATTTTCTTTCGGCCCGACAGAGGTCTGCTCAGCAGCCAGCCATGAGCACACTCCCCTGCCCTCTGGGGCGGTCACCTATCTTTATACCCAAAGTTATGTATACAATATTTATCATTTTTCCCCAATACCTTTCACCCTTATTGACCAGTGCACTTTTAGTAATGACCAATCCCAAAGTGCCACCATCACCACAGAAGATGGAGGAGAAGAAGAAGAAGGACAGGACACGCCCCAATTCCTCCATCTTACTTCTCTAAACCCCCCTGTACAGAAATCCTAAACCCTGTGTTTCACCCTCTAATTAACTTATCCCTTCACCATTCACCCCGGTGAAATTCTCCTATCCTCATACAGGTGTCATCTCCTGTGTAGGATCAAAGTCCAGCCAGACACTTCTGGCAACATTCCAGGACTCCCGAGCCCCCCAAGGGTGGTCTCGGTGACGCGGCACCTCAGTCCTGAGGTGCTGAGATCCCACAAAAAGGATGTGGCAGAAATAGAAGTAGCCCAGAGAAGATGTCGGTGATGGGAATGACTTCCACAGGAAAGGATGACAGCTGACAGATTGAGAACCTTCCACCTCATAGCGGAAATGAGCTGAAGGGAAAGAAAAAGTATTTCTGTAAAATCAGGAATGGCCTGAGTGGACCTGGAATGAGTGCCCCAAGTGCTATGGGGCTCTCAGTGAAGGAGCTGCACAACAGTTTTAAAATTAAGTATCATGGCCTTTGTCTCCATAACCTTTATCTGAATTACAGAATTTGCTGCTCCAAGCCCCTGAAAACAAATGCTGTCAAGGAGCTCAAAAGCTTCTGACCAGACTGCTGACCAGCACAGAGGAGAGGGAATCTGAGGGAGGCATCCTGTCCAACAGAACTGAAAACAAAACTAAAAGAAGTCACTTTCCCTTGGAGGAGAGGAAAAGACCCTCCAACCTAGAAATCTGAAACTGCTGCTGAGGCAACAGCATAGCCTGTGTGGAAGGTTTTACATGCAGTTGAGTTTGCAGTAAAGCTGCACATTGCAAAAGGAGTGTGGATCCCTGTACATAAAAAGGGATTTTAAAAAGCCATTTCACCAGTTACAGTTCAGAGTGGCCTTGCTGTGCTGGCAAGTAAGGCTTTAGAACAGGATTTGCATGATGACTTAAGAAGTGACAAAAAGATTGAATTTAAAGCATGGCAGATGGCCCAAAATCATTAGCTTGAAACACAGAATTTATACCAGTCCTACTTTATGTAGTCCTTGACTTTATGTCACCACAAAGCTAGCTAGAGCTTATAAGAGATTATGACAACAGTAACAATAAACAAAAAAAGAAGAAAAAAATAGCAGCTTGTGATCTGCTTTCCCCTCTACAGTTTCACTTGTAATTAGCATGGTTTTCATTTCTTTCTCACTGCTTCATTTTAAGAGCTCCTCTTGGATCAGTTGTGGAACCAACCTCATTATTATTGACCTTGAAATAAAAAGGTCTCAGAAAAGAAGATTGTGTGGTACAGGAAGAATTGAGCTGCTTGAGTTGTGGGGATTTGGAGAGGGGACAACTAGTACCCATGAGAATCACATGGTTGTGTGCAGGGAGGTGCCAATATCAAGAGTTTTTCCTGTAAGCCGAGAAGAGGATGAAATAATTGATGCAGCAGTGAAAGAAACAAGTGTGATCCAAGGTTGTGTCACATGGGGAATTTTGAGCAGAGATGTTTTAATGTCCTCAGATGAGGCAGTGGTGGAACCTGTGTCAGACAACTGCAACACTGGACACTCCAACTGCTGAAAAAGGAATTTAAGTGCAAGAATGGAGACTGAAGGGAGTAGTGGCTTTTTCAGTCAAGTGAAGGGGAAACAGCAAACATCATCTTCACATAACCAAACCTCAACAGTAGCTAATTAAAACCCTTTTCACCAGAATAAATTATAGCAAAAGTTAGAACAGCTGTTGGAGAGGGAAATGGGAAGCATGAGACCTGCCCGTCTGAAAACCAGCTTCAGCCTTGTTCAAACAGCTGAGAATCCAAGCCCAACAGTTTTCTTCCACACCAGTGCTACCAAGAAACTGTTCCTGCCTTTGTTTGCATTTCACTCTGAGCATTCTCATCTTGTTTTTCAAAGCACAATTGCCCCCCAGTCCAGGTGAGTTCTGCTGGCCTTTGGCTGCTGTGTTTCAGTGGAAAGCACTACTCTGACAAGCACTTGTCAGCCAGCAGCAGAGCTGTAACACTGGCAAACTGCTGAAGGGAGGCTGTGGAGAAGGAAATAAACTGCAGGAGAGCCGAGTTCCCCTGGGGTGGAGACCCTTTGGCCTTCTAAAGCTGTGGAACTGTGAGTGGCTCCCTCCTTCAGGTCAGCCAGCCCCATGTGATAGAATGTATTTCTAAAGATTCAGCTAGCCATGGCTTTTATTCAACTGTTTATATAACACTGAGAAAAAAAGTTCCTTGGAATTTTCATTTTAAATTACTGTTTTATCAAAATTCTCATTAGAATAACTTCAATGCCAAATCCCAGATCAGCTGCTCCTCTGACAGCTTTTCTGCACCTACCTGAATAAATATTTGTCAGTATGTTTTCAAACAGTCCACAGTCAAACAGTGCCATCACTGTCTCTTCATACTCTGGGGAAAGAGATAATTTGATGTAATACTACTGAGGAAAGGTTTACAGAGCCCTACATTAGAGGTACCACAAAACAGTGATTACTTATTTTCCATTATACTGACTGCTCAAGGTTTTAAGATGTCTTCCTTCTCATATAATCTAGATTGAGAAAAAAGGATCAAGTTGTCAATTCTTTCTTTTAAGTTTCACACAGAAGATTATTCCTCACTTAAGCCATATTTGACTTCAGTGTGCCAGGACTGTGTGATGGCAGAGCTGACTGTACCAACTCCTCCTGACACATCAGCTGTGGGGCTGAGCTGTCCCCATTTGCTGTTAAGAAATATCCAAGAATTACACCTCAATTTCATACCTGAGGCTTCTGCTGAAGCAAAATACAAAACACTCACAGAGTTCAACTGACACACCAGCTGCTCATGAAGGAAGGCTTTCCAGGTGGGACATTTCACTTTCCATGCATGTGCTTCAGTTACTTTGCATAAAATGGCCTTCTTTATGCAAAGGTATTACTCCTAACTTTGCAAAACTGGGAGGGCAGTTGGAGAGGAAAGTTCAAAACTTTCTTTAACTGTGTTGTGGACAAAGCAACATTAGATTGGAATTCTTCAAAAACAAAGTACCTCATGCAAGGTGATAAACCCATAAAAACCTGAAACAGACACTAACAGCTGACAGTACACTTGTAACAAATCATCCAAAGCCTTAAAATGTACATACTTAGGGATTTTCACTCAGAAGAGAGTGCTGATATTAACAGACAGCTGGTACCTCTGTGAAGCTGCAAGAGCAACACAGACTTATGACTTAAATAAAACCTGGCTCTCTTCAGGACCTCTCTGTTCCCCAGTTCCTGGGAGGAGAGGCTGGACTGAACCTTCCTATGCATATGCCAGCATGTAAAAGGTGGCTTCAAAAATTCAAGTCAGAAGGTCTCACTGGAGATGCTGAGTTGGCAGCTCTTATGTAATTTTGAGAAAGAAGTTCCTTGGAACTTTCATTGTAAGTGGTCATTCAAAAGGGGAGGTAATTTTCAACCTCCTGCACAGCTGCAGAAATAAGGACTGAGTTATTTAGCACCATGCCATTCTCAGGAAGGTGGCCCAGGGCCAAGTGCCCAGGGTTCAGATCTGCACCTCTACTCTGACAGCAGAGTCTGGGCCATGGGTTCCCCTGAAACATACCTCTTTCTGAAGTGTTGTCATCCATCAGCTTTTCCTGAGCCAGATGAAGTGTGTCCAGCATTTCTTCAAATATATCATCCAGAAGCCCAGCTTGTTTGCACTTCCTAACGAAGTCTATCCGAACTGTTAAAACACAAAAGCATTCTCATACAGAAGTGATCTGTAAAGTGGGCTTTGCTCCCTCTCTTCAGAAACTGAAATTTAAGCCAAAGCCCTTCCACCAGTAACAAATAGTTTTGCAAATCTCTGGCTCCTCCAGCCACCCACACAGCCCTTTTCAGTGGGAACAAAAAAGTGGCCAGGCAAATGTAAGCACTGTGCTGGGTGTAAAATTCCCTAAGCTCTAGATTTGGCTTCATTCATCACAAGCAAACAGCTCCACAGCTCTAAATGTTCCATTCCTAAAGCTCATGATACCCCCTAGTGATTTGTCTTGCTTGCAGCTTCACCAATCCTTAGGACCACACCATGGACTGAGCAGGCTAAAGACAGAAAACAGTGCAATAAATGAATCAGATTTGGTAAAAATTGAGGCTACTTTTATTCCAAGTGATCCAGGCAACTAAAGTTTTTTATTACAGCCCATTTTATATACCGACTCTGTCAGATTTGGACTGATAGAGAAATAACCATTTTTTCTTTATCTGTGAGCAGCAGCAAGTTTTAGTAAGATCAATGCAATGGGCTGTTCAAAAGCAAAGAGCCACTGGATGGCTCACTAAAGTCGGCCAGTCTCTTTAAAAACAATGTTACATTCTACTGGAGACATTTGTGAGGAAAGAAATGCTTTCTCACTTACAGGAGATGCTCTAGGAGTATTCCAGGATTCTTTATAGGTTTCCTGTTCTTTACAGTGGTAATGAAATTCAGAAAAGACCACTAGGCAGCCACTTGCAATACCATGCCCATACATTAAGCATATCCACAGTGAGGTGAATAATGACCACTAGCACATTCCAAACTTCCAAGTGCCAGCAGAATCCCAACTTCAGCAGGAGCTTCAGGGTAACATGAAAACTGCAGGACAGCTCCTGTGATCCATCTCACTGTTGTAACACCATATATATGCAGTGACAGCCTATATTGTGCTAAGCACCCTGTGTACACCCAGGCTTCCAAAGGCAAGATGTGCTGCTCCCTACTCAGAGCACCTCCTCTGTTAATGCCTTCCAGGGTTCCCATTTCAGATTTAACAGCTCTGATATGGAGCAGCAACGTCAGGCAGAGGCACCCCTGGCTGCAGGAGACAGAGCTGAACACAGCAGCCAGCCAGAGCGGGGCATTCCCATCTGAATCACCAGCTCACATCACACAGCAAGTCTCACCACAGGCATTTGTTTGCTGCACAGTTATTAAAGCATTCTGCAAATCAGACTTCTGCTGCCACACCAGAGCACAGAGACAGCCACTTGTCTCAGGAGAATCATAAAAATACATTTGCAGCATAGAATTTGCTACCAGCCATCTCCAAGCTCTGCACTTGAACACAACAGACCACAGTACCTCCTAGTTGCTCCATGAAGTTGCATTCAAATGTCCAAAATATCAGAATAAGGTTCCTTAACACTGAAGTTAAAGAGAGCATCCTTTCTTCAGGCCCAAGGCTCTGCAGGGAATTCACCTAACCGTACATGGACACCCTGGCTCCACATTAAGTGTGTTGCTCATATACACTCCCTACACACACTTACAATTTATCCATTATCATAAATCCCACCCCAGGCTCCCAGAGAATAAGTCCTTTGTTCCATCTATCACTGCATTCTTGAGCCACATATCTTCTTGTCTTCCCACTGTCCTTGCTGGAGGAGCAGCGTTTGCATGCCTTGTTTCTCTGCTGAAAGTTTCACAGGCACAGTAAAAACTGAATTAACCCTTCTGGTATCCAATGAGTCTCACCTTTATGCCTGTCGTTTTTTCTTTTTAGGATTCGTAAACTGTTTTCTTCTGCTGTCTCTTCTGTACTCTGTAAGAAAATCAAAACATTGCATTTTTACATCATGCTGACATTTACTGCTGTTGTCATTATCATACTTGTGTCTTAGCAGAAAGATAAAAAGCAGTCCACATGTCTGTGAACAGAGTCAGCCTCTCTGAATAGCTAACAATATTCCTCTGCAGACATTCTATTCTGAAAATGGAAGCAAAAACTGCTTCAAAGCAAAAATGCTTTAAGAAAAGCCAAACACCTGGGACACCACCTTCCTTAACCACTGCATTTGCAAACAGCAAAGAAGTTAACAAATGCCTACTGGGAACTCCCAAGGCTCTTTCTGAACACTGTCAGAATACTTTGATATGCAAGTCCTTTGCTGTAGCAGGTGTGGGTCCCCTGTTTTAGTACTGCTGAAATTCAGAATTACCATTTCTTCTGTGATGGTGGGAGATGTCAACGTACGTCTTCTTTTCTTATTAGCTGCATCTAGGAATCAAGAAACAATAAAGTAACAAAAGTGACAACCTCAGACTGACCATCACACATATTTAAATTCTTTCTCTTCCCAAAAAGCTAAAGAAGTAAGGCCCCTTGAGTGGCAAGGCAGAAATATGTTTCAGCTTCCCCAAAAACCCGACATTTCAGCAGAATTCACACTGTTTGCATTAAGGAAAATTGCAAGCATCAATCAACCATCAGGAAAAGTGCAAATCATTATAGCATTAGGATACCACTTAACCTTTTCAACTCAGTAGATTTTTAATTGTGGCAGAGTGAACTTATTCCTCCTGGCAGCAACATCACTTCTAGGTGGTAAAAACCAGTTTGGTTTTCCAAACAATTCTTACGTAAGTTAATACACCCTCAAAACTAAGACTACATAAAGAATTACTTAGGTGTATCAAAGACATATAAATGGCATTAGTGTTTTCATCAACCTAAGGACCCTCCCAGAAAACCTCCAGAAGCCATCTGACTTGTCAGTTTACTATTATTTATGCTACAAAGTGTTTGTAGTTGTGTGGTACAAGATCTCTGAAAAATTCTCTGCTTTCACTGCATCCTTTCCATCAGCACGCACCAGACTCTTGCCAACATCACAACTGGCAGCTTTTGGAAACAGCTACAGTATCACAAGCAGAGAGGGATAGCTCTGGCAAGAAGACATGGCAGGAGCAGAGAAAGGCAGAGAAGAGTGTAACCACCCACTGTTGGAGATTTTTTCAGAAATGGCTTGGAAGGCAGCTGTGAGGAGTAAAATTCTCACAGCCGGTTTCTGTAAACAGTAGAAGTTCTCAGGTTGTTTTTAATTACAAGTAAAAGTGACAAACATGAAGACCTTGAGAACCTTGCATACCAGAGTTCTCAAGCAGCTTTCTCATAACAAGTAGATATTCTATCTTTGGCTGTTTTGGGAAAGCAAAAATAATTTTGAGAACCCAAATCTTGGTATTGGAAACATAAGGAGGGGCTGGTGTGTTATCTCTGACCTATTGTGAGCTCGGGTTTGCAATATGCATGAACTTAATTAACACGGTTATAAAAAGTGACTGATTGAGTGAATAAACGGAGTCAGATGCTGAACAAGGAAGTTGGGTCTCTCCCTCCATCTTCAATATGTCAGGATTCAGAACTATGGATAAGTAAAAAGCAAAGCTACTAAGTAAACTAAGAAGATGCATTTGGTTAGTGAACCACAGCAAGATCAGATACTAAACAGACTGTATGTCTGGTTAAGAAGTGAGCCAGGGGCATTAGAAATTAATTTAGGGTAGAAATTAATTTTTGAGTTAGGATAGCTGTTTTAGATGATGTATGTTGCTTAGCTTGTAACTTGCTGTGCTGGCAAAGGCCTGTGAAGATGGAAAAAGGAATGCAGGGATCCTGGTAAGAAGAGCTCATTACCCCAAACAAAGTGGAAGGAATGCAAGGCCTGTTGGAGATAAGAGAGGCTCCTCAGACCCTGCAGAGAGATCCTGCATGTGTCCAGTACTGAATAAATACACATCTACCTTACAGCTTTTACAAGTTGTGGAGTCTTTCCACAAAGCCCCAGCCCTCATGAATAAAAGCTTAAATAATAATCACCTAACCCATCTCTTCAGTGTCATCAGGGTGGAGCAGGGCTCAGTTCAACTGAGGTCAAATTCAAAGTGAAGGCCAGTCCAGGAGCCACTAAGTGTGAGCAGAGTTCTCTGCATTAGGCTAACAAGGTCCAGCTTTGGCTGGCATTTCCAAATACCTCTGAATCAGGAAGGGCCAGGACTGCCAAATGAAGCTGCATTTCTGCAGCACAGGAAGCAATCCTTAAACAAGGATTGTACAACTCTTTTGTTACACTTAAAAAGCTCTTTGGGATCCTTCAGAATGAAAGGCCCTATTTTAAAAATTACTGCAGTGAATACAGAAGATGTAAATGTGAATGTCTGAATAACCACAGATAAAACCCCAAGGTGACTTCTCCTGAAACCGCCTTTTCCTTGCTAATCTAGTGCAAACTTGTGTGTGGCTCTCCTGTCTTACATGGATTTTTCAAGCTGCTTGGGCCTACTTGCCCAAAGAAGAGTAAGAATTATTCCATTAAGGATTGCGTCCATTGTGGTTTAAGCCAGTTTTCAAGAAGATTCTGGGAGGATTAAGTTTTAACTTTTCCCACTTCAAAAAACCCTTGATTTTTGCGCATACATGTGGATCCTAACCAAACCAGTCTTGCAAGATTTGAAATCCACCACTTGATATGAAGGTAGTAATATTTATCTTGTTCTTATGAATTACTGATTGTAGGATGCAAATTTTTAAAACAAATGAAATCAAAGAAGTCATTAAAGAAACTCACCATAGCGATTGGTCCGATTCCCTGGGTCATGTTTTGGGCAGAACACTCTAAAATTTAAGTTCAATTTAAAAAAAAAAAAAGAGAAGTAGTATTAATAAACATGCAAACAGAGTTATGTTGACCTATTTTAACATATATTTTCTCCCCTTTCCACCGAACATAAACTGAAAGACAGTTCAAAAAACCCAGGATTTTTGTTCAGCATTACCCATCTCAAAAACCACCTGCTTTAAAGTCCTGTGCATGCACAACCTTGTGTCTGTACTTCCAGAGCCACAGTGGATTCTCAGCACTGAAGCTCTGAATAATGAGCTCCACCAGACCCCCTCTCTGGGCCTGCCCACTGCTCAGCCCTGAGCCAGACACATTTCACGTGAGTGGCAATCACTGTGTCAGAGGCACTGAAGTGAGATTAACGCTCCCAAGGTGAAACACCACAGTCTGACACTGCTCCATCACAGCACCTCTGCCCCACACGGGCCAGGAGCCTCCTCAGGGACATCTGCCCAGTGTCACCTTCCACCCCTCAGCCCTGCAGGGCTGGCAGTGCCACGTGGCACCACCATGCACTCACCTGCCTGGAGATCTCTGTGCCCCTCCCTCCCGCTGCCCTGTGCTCATGGAAGGCCCCCAAACCCTGATTACATGGGGCAATCCTGTGTGACATCCAGTAGCTTAAAGCTGCTCAGTCCATTTGTTACTTAAACACTTTAGCAGTATGTGAAATGGGAATATTTTCAGTGGTTCTATGAGAGCATTGTGAATTCCTTGGAAAAGGCAAACTGAAACAAATTTATCTGAAAATGTTCCTTATCTTTTGGATAATGTGCAGAGAACATGAACCAACTTTTATAATATGCCTTTCTTACAGAAGGATCCCAAGTCACTTTTTCAAGTGACTTTTCAAGTAAAAATGCCTTGTCAGGAGCATGGCTTAGTTTACCTCTTCCTTACAAATCTACTTGCCAAGACTGCTGCAATTTTTAAAGGGAACTGCATTTACTAGGACATTTTCTAATTATTGTCATTCTTTTAACAAAAACAGAAGCACTGCCCTTAGAAATACAGACTGTTGGCTTGATGAGGAACTTCTTTTGCATGTAATGCATCTTGAAGCACAACAAATCAGATTTAGGTATGCCTAACAATGCAATCAGAAAGCTATACACTGCACACACCTTATTTACATCCCTGAATTTCTAATACTGCCTTTTGGAGAATGTTTTTTATTCTTCCCCTCCCTTTAGTTCTAGTATTTCACAGTTAAAAACAACCCATCCTAAGCACAAGAACATCTTACAAAGTACAGACAGTGTATTTTACTACTCAGGCCACTTTATTTGGAAGCACTCCCCTACTATCATTATTGCAAGACAGCAGTGCAAACTGTATTAATTTCTCCACCTCTGCTCTTCCTGGCCACTTCCACAGCACCATTGCTTTCTCTTTTTATTCTGCTCCATTTGTTTTGATGATCACTAGCCATCATCACAACGATGGCAACTCAGAATTTAAAGCCACCAGCTCTGCCTCTCTCGAAGGAATTCTCTCTTTTTGGTATGTTATATTTCACCATGAAAATGTGCAGGGGCTGTCAATCCACATCCACTGCTTTTCAAGTGTACTCTCCAATAATTTCAGCTAGATACAACTTTTGTGCTTTATTTACACCACTGCTACAGTGCAAAAGTCTTTAGGTTCAAATCCTTGAAAGCTGTCCTAGCATCCTTCTCTAATCCAGTCCTTTCCCAGCTCCTCAATAAAGGTTATTATATGACCTAGTTTCCTAGGCTATCAGTGTCCCACAGTGACTTAAAACAAGGCATTTTTAAGGGTCCCTCTTCCAAATCTCCGAGGTCACCAGCTCCAAAATGCCACCAAACCAAACTGTATATGCAAGCACTTCTTTACCAGCTTGTATCTAGACTGCTGTCAGTCCCACTTGTTTTTCAACATCTTGAGTTCAGTCTTCTTGAGCCTGAGTTATCCTTTCTAAAGCTGTAAGATGAAACTGTGATCATAGAAAGTTTCCATCTTCCCAGTTCCACTCTTCCATGAGCTTTGCAGATTCACAAAGATTTTATAGCTCCCATCCTCCCTGCACAGCTGGGCTTACAGCCTTGCACAGATGCATTCACTTTAGACAGAAAGCACTGGGAACCAGCCAGGAGTGGAAATCTCTTGCCACAAAAGGACCCATCTTCCACTGCTACCAAGGACTGCACTAGTCCACCCCTTTCTGAAACAAGTACTGATTAGATGATCCCCAAATTAATCTAAGTCTAACATGACCTGTGACCTCTCTGGCCGTGCACAGAAATGAGCATCAGGGCTTTTATGCACCTCAGACTTTACTATAACTTCAGCATTTCAAAAGGTCCCTGAAGCCCCAGTTTTTCAACCCCTTAATCTGCATCCTCCAAACAATTTCTTTCATCTGTCAATGGCAGTGCAGGCAGCCCAAAGGCAGTGGACACCAGGACTATCATGATCAGGACAGAAAATTTACTTAGAATGCATTCAATCATGTTATTGCTAGCAACATACTTGACATACAAGGCCTTTGGTGGGAATCAAAGCTCTTTGCTAGGATGGGGAGGGAAAACTACCCAAATTTGACTAATGTGAGCAGACCTAGAATGTGCTCAGACCATGTCTACCGGAGCTTCTGAACCAACAAAAAATTTAGAATCTGAGTGAGATTAATAAAAGTCTTTGTTCTTGAAGATTGGCTAAGAGTCAGTAAAGACTGATTTTCTCAGTTTTTGCCTTGTTGTCTTTCAGTGATGTTACAGGCTCAAGCACCAAACAGATTCCTTCCCACTGCAGTAAAGCTTTCCTGTGAAATGAGAACAGTTCTCCCACAGTTTGCAAACAGAGGATCAAGCATTGCTTTAGGAGAAGGGAACTTACTTCCTTGCCTAAAACCCCTTTAAGCCCCAGGCAATGGGTGCCCCTTGCTGACCCCCAAGGCTGGCCGTGGCAGGACAGTGGCTGGGTACCTGTAGACGCCGTTGACCTCGTCGGTCTCCACGGCGGCATCGTCGCAGAGGGCGCAGAAGAAGTGGTAGCTCCTGCGGCACGTGCGCTCCTCGCAGCCCACCGTGGCCCCCTTCTTGCGGCAGAAGCTGCACGCCTGCAACGGGAGGGGGTTCACCACGTAAATGCCACAGGCAGCTACTCCAAATCCTGCCAGAGAGGGCAAATGATGTTCTCCTGGGGAAAATCCAGTATTCCATTGCAAGTCACCTCTGTGTAATTCATCGGGCAAATTCACTCCTGCGAACGCCTACCTCGGTCATTACTGCAGCCACCTTTTTGCTACCTTACCTCTAATTCATACTGATCAGTTTGTAAAATGAGGCAAAGAGCCATGTGAGGGCTCTAGCAACTTTCCCAAGTTATTTCAACATTAATTTGTGTTAATGTTTGTATTTATGTTTCCTAGCTAACTTCGTAATGAAGAGTCCCACCCAGGACATTGGGGAGGAGGGCAGCTGAAGACAAAGGCAACTAAAAAAACCCTCCTTTAATCAATCATATTTCTGCTAAACTCACAATGTGTTCCCCTTTACAACTGTGGATTGCATTCTTTTGTTTCAGGCACTGGCTTAGTTCTATACCAAAGTCTCAGGAAACTTCAGCTAAGGACACAAAAGGCCAGGAAAAAACCCACCTGCATTTTAATACAGAATTAACTAAATTCCACCAAACCAAACGGTAAATCAATGACTCCAATGCTAAACCTGTAATTTCCCTAATCTTATTAGATCAGAATGACCAGCTACTTGAATGGGTTTTTTTAAAGCACAGAACAGGCCAGACAACCTTCAACACTTGAGACAGCACTAATTGCACTCAGAAACATCTCCTTACCAGCCGCTTTCCTCTCCTCAGCTCCTTCAACACTGACGACACATCAAACCTTATTTCCAGATTTTCTGGGTTATGATCTTCAGATTCCACAAATCCTGAGGAAAATAACTAAAGACAAAAGAGACAGTTATAAGAAATAATGACTCAGTCACCAATGCTGAAGAGAAACAAGGAATACATCTTTTCTTCTTGCCCTTGCCCTACCTAAGGAGGCTGATTTTTCTGTGTGTTAACAAGAGGTTTCACCTACACTGAACAAGGAGCTAAGCTTAAACATTTCTGCAGTCAAAAAAAGTTCCTCCTTCCACACAGGAGATTTCACATAACCCAAAGGCAGACTAAGAAAAGACAGTAAGGTGAGAAAGTTCAACTTATTAAAAACATGATCAAAGAAAATGTGAAATTCCAGGGTAAGGATGAGAAGATCTTCAGGCAAGAGACCTCCACACCTTGGACATCATATTATTTGCTCAGCTGTTCAGACATACACCTGGATGCAACATTTCTCTGTAATAAGATTTCCATACAGCCCAATGCGACAACAGCTGACTGCAGTAAAAAGCCAGAGACATTGTACATATCCTGGGAGAAACTCACAAAAATGCACACATCACACTCAGGCCACTTTAATTCCCATAGAACTGCTGAGCCATGACAGTGAGTGAGGAAGGGGAAGTTCTTGGCAAATATTTCCTAAGCATTCCATGTAGCTAATTCCAAACAAAAGGGAGCTACCCTTTCATCAACTAGCAGGCACAGTCTGTCTGCTCAGAGGGTGATAGCTGACTGAAAAAAAAACCAAACAGCACAAACAAGCCTAAGGCAGAGAAATGAGTAAAGTTGCTGGAAGGAGAAAGAAAGCGGAAAAAAGAAAAAACAGAGAGAAGGAGAGAGAGAGAAGTTTTAACACTGGAGAAACATTAAAGCCACAATAAAACCTGTTTCAAACAAAACATTCAAGTAAAACAACGCTGTTGTGAGACACTCTGATAAAAAATAACCAACCAAAAAAGATATCAGAAAAGTAAAGATGCAGGATAACAATTGTGAGAATAAGAAGGCTGGGACAGTGACAGCCAGAAAGCTGCTCCAGCAGCCATCTCTGGCCCTAAACTGTCCTCAGCTATATTCTCCCTCTGCTGAAGGGAGAATACAGCAGCCGTAACTGATTCTGCACTCCAAGAACCAGCTCCACCAACATTCCAGAATAAAGGGAAGGCATGAAGAGTAGGAGGATTGCAACACATTTAAGAGCTTCACAAATATTTTTATATCATCAGCTTTTGATATTTTTATTCCTTATTTTAAATTATTGACACATTGGAAAGTTTTTTAATCTTTAAGTGATATGGATATTTTCCTGCAAAGTTTTAAGTATACAACTTTGTGTGGTCTGAGAATCCTCATCCAAGAGGATGAGTATCAACAGTGCCTCAAGAAGACCTATTCCTGTTGCCAGACCATATGTGGTCTTTGTGGTATTTTCACGTGCGTCTGGGACCACTACTCAGCAACAGACACACATGAAAACACGACAGATCAACAGCTCCAGCTGTGCAGACACATCCTCTCCCGCTCCAAAATCCTCGCCAAGCCCTGCTGCTTTTTAAGCTTTTCATAATATAAACTTGCTGGTTTGAGTAACCAGCCTTTCAATCCAGACATCATTGCAAAACCAAAACCAGATAAGCAGTGGAACCTTCCCCCTCATCCCCTCAGCAGTGCCCAGCTAAAGGCACTCACCAGACAATCCTGATGAGCTGCAATATTTCTCTCTGTGGCGATATACATCACAGAGCCAGCCTCCCCTTCTGAACAAAACGCACATGTCGTTCTCACCATCTTCGCCATTATCCACAAAGCACCTAGAGCAGGAAATCTGGGACAAAACACAAAGCAATTGAACAACTTCCATAGGCCATTCAGGACAGAGGAAAGCAGAGCCTGCCAACACCTGCCTTCACCTACATCCCCTGACCCTGGGTGCTTTGCTCCTCCAGTAACAAGTACCAGTAGAACAGGAAAAGCCTGCACATGGCACAGCAGTGGGATGGAAACCAGATCCCAGGAGCTCCAGCAATTAGAGCGGGAAAAAGAGTGGTTTCTCTCCTCTTGGAAAGTCACTAACAAGCCATAAGGGGTAATACCAGAGTTTTCAAGCTTGCTTGAAATATCTGCTCCAAAAACAGATCCAAGAGCAGCCTGGCAAGTGATGCTCTCAGGTGTGAAACTCCTTTTATTTGGAGGAGGGCAATCACTCACAGTGTTTTCTTAACCTACTGCTGCCACGTGTGGGTCTGCGAGTCAACAATGGACAGAGAAACAGCTGCCCCCAAGCTTCACCAGTGCCTTCCAGGAGCTCACAGAAAACAAGGAAGAAATACTAATTTATTGCTGTAAGGATGTAGCAAAGTAGTGTGGAGAGGTCTACAAGTAAATTGGGGCACAAAAAGAAATCTTAAGTGACAGATTCAAACATTCTCTCTCAACAAGGCAAAATGCTAACAGGAGTGACAGAATTTTCCCTGAGCCCTGGGAATTTTCCTAGGGACACTTGTTATCTTTTCTTGGCCATATCCACTTAAGTCTTAATTGTTATTCACATGGTCATTCTCCAGCAGCTGCAACATTCTGAGGCCACCTACACACTTCCCCAAAGCAGTCTGTTTCTGGACAAGCCTTTACACACATTCCCCACCAGCAGGTTAGAGCATCACCCCAAACATTTGTAGCAGAAATTTTACTTTGTGGTTTCTGTGCAAGTCCACCACAGAAATCTTCAACAACTTCCCACTCCTACAAGGTGTGATTAACTTCAAACCATCCTCTGCTGGAGACGTCACCTCTGACAGCACAAACTCCTGTACGACAAGGGGGAGGAAAAATCTGTGTTTACTTTCAAGAAACAGGAAGATCTGAAGTTCAATTATTCTACTGAGAGGTAGTAAGGCCCAAGCACAAAACAGGCAGGAAATGCCATAGTCCAACAAATCCTGCAACCTTTTTCCAAGTTTCAACAGACAAATTGTTTTTGTTAGCTCCCATTCCCCTTGCATAAAACAGACTGGGTAGCCCCAAGTGGAAGCACCACCAAAGCAGAAGAGAATTTTTTTATGGTTTTTCCCCTTTGGCTTAGACTCCTGATAATTTACTTGTAATCACAAGTAACTTTGCCTTTGCACACAGCTGGAGTTTTTTTCTCTGTCCTTCAATGTCTTGTAAGCAAGGCAGGGTAGAAACTGATTTCCAATACCCATCTATACACTGACCATCGTACCAGTTTCAGAACCTGAGCAATCAATAAATACAATAGAAAGAAACAGAAACACAAGGACATATTAGAACTAGAATAGAACAGACAGAAATTCAAAAGAAGAATGAGCTAGAGTTTGAATGGCCTAGAATAGAGGAAAAGCTCTCTGCAGCAAACCAATACCTGCAATCAGTGCAGACACAGTGCCTGCTCAGGCCCAGTCAGGGGATCCAGCTCCAGGAATTTTTTAAGGAAGGGGCTAAACGTGGACTTTAGAACCCCTGGTGCTCTTACAGGCTCCAGAGAAATCCTGGTGCTGATGGAGGACAGAAGACACTTGATCATGGTCAACCTTGGGCTTACTCCAGCCCTTTCTAGGAATCCTGAAGCAGGGGAAATCCAGCTCTTGGCCATTTCTCTGTGCAGAAGCAGGCAGCCTGCAGCTACAGCCCTGTTTAGCCCTGTATCCTGTCCCTCTGTGGTGGGCTGGCCCTGGCTGGATGCCAGGCACTCCCCCAGGCCACTCTACCACTCCCCTCCACAACTGGATGGGGAGAAAATATAACAAAGGGTTCATGGGCTAAGGACAGGGAGAGATCCCTCACCAAATGCCATCACAGGCAAAGCAGACTCAGCTTGGGGATAATTAACTGAATTTATTACTAACAAAATCAGAGCAGGATAATAAGAAGTAAAATAGATTTTAAAACCACCTTGCCCTGACCCCTCCTTTCTTTCCAAACTCTACCTCTTTCCCCCAAGAGGCACAGGGAGATGGAGAGTGGGGGTTAGGGTCAGTCCATCACTCACTGTTCCTGCCACACTCAAGGAGAGTCCTTCCCCTGCTGCAGTGTGGGGTCCCTCTCCATGGAGACAGTTCTCCACAAACACCTCCGTGAGTCCGTCCCACGAACAACAGCTCTCCATGAACTGCTCCAACACAGGTCCCTCTCCCATGGGGTGCAGTCCTTCAGGCACAGCTGCTCCAGTGCTGGCTCCCCTGAGGGTCACAAGTTCTACCAGAGCCCTGCTCCAGCATGGGCCTCCCATGGGGTCACAGCCTCTCTCAGGCACCCACCTGCTCCCAGGCTGTGCATGGATCTCTGAATCCCCATGGACCTCCCTGGGCTGCAGGGCACATCCTGCATCCCCATGGACCTCCCTGGGCTGCAGGGCACATCCTGCATCCCCATGGGCCTCCCTGGGCTGCAGGGCACATCCTGCATCCCCATGGGCCTCCCTGGGCTGCAGGGCACATCCTGCATCCCCATGCTCTGCACCAGGGCCTGCAGGGGAATCCCAGCTCTGGCACCTGGAGCACCTCCTGCCCCTCCTTCTCCACTGATCTCAGTGTTTGCAGAGCTGCTCCTTTCACATATTCCCACTCCACTCCTCTCTGCCCACAATTTTATCTGCCCAGTAACTTTTTTCCTTCCCTTCTTAAATATGTTGCCACAGAGGTGTTACTATCATTCCTGCTGGGCTCAGCCTTGGGAGCAGGGGATCAGTCCTGGAGCCAGCTGGCACTGGCTCTGCTGCACATGGAGGAAGTTTCCAGCAGCTTCTCACAGAAGGCACCCCTGTAGCCCTCCTGCTACCCAAACCTGGCCATACAAACCAAACCAACCCCCACAGGAGCCCGTGCTCTTCCTGAGCTTTCTGCTACAGCACTACCAGGAAGAGGACCTGGAGCTAACCGGGGCAGTGGAGCTGGCTGGCTGCTCCTACGCAAGAAGGGAGAGGCTAAGGGCAGGTTTCCAGTTTCACAGCTTAGTTACATTTCATCTCAACAACGCCTTGCTTTTGCAGGGCTTAAGCCCGCCACTCAAGGATTCCAGTTGAAACACTTGGATCTGTCTGAAAAGGCAAGAAATCCTTGCTCCTTGCTCCACTCTCTCAGTAGCACTCATGACAGCATTGCTCTGTTACTATTTCTCCTGCTGTCTCTTTTTAAAGCCAAGGAATCTGAAACTATTTAGCTCTTCTCTGTACAGAAGCTGGTCTGCAGTTTTTTCCACCTGTGTCACTTCTATACTCTGCTGGCTATACTCAAAGAGGAGCACACCACCTCTAAAAGGATGGGCTACCATTTACACTACAAAGCCACAACATCACTCTGTATTTTCCTTTTTTCCTTAACAGTTCTCACTGTTTCAATCACATTTTAGCCTGATTCTGAGCGCAGAGCCGACACTTCCAGAGAACCATTGTTGGAAGCACAAAGCAGTGAAAAATCCACAAAGCTCAACAAGCAAGGGGGGGCCCAGGGTGATCAGAGCAGAAAACTGGGTGGAGGGCTGGTGGCTTGTGCTGCCAAACGGGCATGGAGAGGAATGTGAGGCAGTGTGGGAGCCGTGTGGCCTTGTGCTTTCCCTTGCTTACCAGGAAATGTCCTGCACCTCTAGGGTATTCTGTGAACGTGACAACAAACAATGGAAGGTACAAAAGTATCCTGATTTGTACCAAACTGGAGAGAGAGAATTCAAGGCACAAATCATAGGGACAGATCCATGGGTTTGTCCTCCTGGCCACCCCAGAAGGGACACCTTTCAGTGAGAGTCACATACCTGTCTGTTGGTTGGGTTAAGTTAGGTAGGGAAAGACCTCTGAGATCATCAAGTCCAAACAATGGCCCAACTCCACCCTGTCAACCCCAGACCAGTATCACAGTTCCTCAGATCTCCTTCTTAATTGGCATCTGATTAAGTGGGGAGGGCATCAGTATCATGGTTGTTTCTCTGCCACATCCATCATCTTCCACTTATCTATGCTGGATTTTCACCTGCTGTTTTACAGTCAATCCCTTGCTGTCCCTAAAACTTTCTGCAACTCTTTACTTCCACTGTCACCACCACAGGGAACGCAGGGGGCCCAACTCGGCTGCAAGATCTGGGGGGCTCCTGCTGCCCCTGCTCATGACAGGACAAATGACGCTGCAAAACAGAAAGCAGAGCAGCAGCTGAGAGAACAGTCACACCTGGACACTCCTCCTGTGCCATTGCCTAGAAGGAGGGCTGCTGGTTTCGCTTCTTTACTTTTTCACAACAGTGACTCAAGGAAAGGAAACAGAAAGTAAAAAGGGAGAAGAACAGTGCTGGCAAGAGTCCAGGGCTTGTACCACTTACAAATTCAGCAATCCTGCTGAAACATTACCAGTTTGTCTAAGTATTTGCTCTCCAGACCCAGTTCTGAAAGCATTCTTGTATGTAAATACCCATCTTTTACAGAGTAGGAGGCTAAGGCACAGAATCTCTTAATACATCCATAGGAGAGTAAGGAAAAGAACCCAAGTCCCCTGAATTCCAGTGCACTATTGAAACCCACTGCCCCAGCTCCTGCTCTGCTCTCCTCTTCCTTCCAGCGCAGTGCAGGGTTGGATCTACGGAAGCAGGAAGGAATCACACACCCGTTACCCCACACTCACTGTCCCTCACTTGTGCTTTGTGGGGAAAGAAGCACGGCTGGAGATTTCACAGCTAAACACGACCGACACTCACCTCCCCATTCTCCCCACGTCAGTACAGAACCTATACATGCAGGTCTCGCAAGGAAGAAGGAACAAATAAAAGTGTCTTTCTGATCACCTCTCACTTGAGAGCATCTCGTTCCAGCCCCCTGCCATGGGCACGGCACCTTTCGCTGGACTGGGCTGCTCAGAGCCCCATCCAGCCCGGCCCTGAACACCGCCAGCGACCAGATACCCACAGCTTTTCTGGGGAACCCGTGCCGGGGCCTCACCACTCTCACTAGCAAAGAACTTCTTCCCGGTACCTCC